CCCCAAAACCCCAAAACCCCAAAACCCCTTAATGCTTAGGCTAATTGAAAATTATGTGAATTAGTACTATTCCTTCGCTACTGAGGGAAAAGCTTAAGCTCTATTTTCTTCCGATTGAGCTTGAACTTCTTGAATAAACTATCTTTTCTGAGTTTCACTCTCTTAGAGTTTATCTGAGGATTATTGGAAGTATTTTCGTTGCTCTTGATCAGGTTTTTGTATTTGCTCCTTTGTTGTCCGAGTTTGTTGAGTTTGTGCTTACTCTTGCGGAAAATATTATATATAGACCTTTCTTTGTTTCTCTTTTGAACAATAATACTTGAGGCAAGGGAAGATATATTGGATCTTGGACTATGTATGTTTTGAGATAGAGGAATCTCTTGATCTATTAAACTGTTTGTCTGGCTAATGATATCTTCTTTCAATGACCCTATTCCTAGATTTATGTTCATTCTAATAGAATTTGGAATTTTTCAAAGCTAATTCAAACAAAGACGTAACTAAATTTCCTTACGCTTATTATGAATGTGCTCATCATGGCTCTTAAGGCTTCGTAAGTGGTAGTTCCTGCCATAATCTCTTGAATTTCTTGCTTGTATAGATTTTCTACAGATTCTGGAATTTTTCTCCTATTAAAATACACCTTTGCAAAAGCTCGAGCTTACATCAAGTTTATTTGAGATGGGGCTGAATGGTAACTGGTTGAAGTTCATGAAGTTATGGTAATATTTGTTCCTAAAATTTGGATATTTCTTTGAGAACAAGCCAATTGTTGCCTGCAGCGACAAAGGAGATATGAATTCTGAAGAAGAGCTTACTTTGAGAATTGGTTATTTTTGATGTAATCTCTACTAGGGTCTTTAAATCGAGTTTTGAGTGGAGCACTGATGAGGATTTAGGGGTTTATTACTTTGAGGAAGGTGAGGCTTCTAGAGAGGCAATGCTGGGAAGTGAAGTGGCCTGTTCAGAGGTGTTCTATGGGTGATTTTTGGGGTTTACAATGAGGTTGATTTTGAGGGCTAGCTTGGGCGGGAGGTTAGGGACTAGAGATGGGACTTTGGACTGTTTTGAAGGGTGTTTTGGGCTTTGGACGATGGAGTAGTCTTTTATGAAGATTTTTGAATTTTTTAGGTTTATTGGATTTGAAATGTGTTTTATGTGCTTAGAGGGCTTCATTCTTGGCGGCTGGAAAGATGGTAAAGGTAATTTATAGTGGGCTAGAATTTGGGAATATATTCACTCTTAACCTTATAAAAAGCTTGTAATATTCAAGTCTCTTCTCTTCAACAAATAAGAATATCCTCAAATACGTCTTCCTCCCCTCAAAAACAACAAATCCAAAAACCCTCAGGTTCAAAATCAAATTCCAACCCCATATTCTCTGTCCAAACTTACTCTAGAATAATATAAAATTTCAATTTTATAAAAAACCAAAGGGGTTTTGGGGTTTTGGGGTTTTGGGGG